AGATGCGGTTTGTATAGAGCCGAGGCTCTAAACAATTAAAGTAGAGCATACCTTCGAATAGTGTCAGAGACATATAGTCTCAATACTGGAAATCTTTGAGATAGCTTTTAAAGCTATCTCGAATTCTAAACTTTTAAAGCTTCAAAAATAGTGTAGATCGAGTAGATCTATGAAAACTTGAAAATCTTAAAAATTGACTATCCGAAAATGCAATACAAGATGCACTATTTCTAAAACTTGAAATCTATTTTTTTCTCATGTCCATGCATCTTGATGATGAGATGATCAATTTGAATATATTTGGGCATTAAAACAAACTCTTCTAGTGAAATTTTTGAGGTGGGCTCTAATTTTATTATTTAGAGCCTCGACTTATATAAACTTTTCCCATATATATCAAAGAAGGAAGAAGTTTGTACAAGGTTGCAACCTTAAACTATAGAAGTAAGATGTGCCTTAAAATCCCCTCAAAAAGAGTGTTTCGAAATTAGAAAACACTCCAATGAGATGTATGGATACAGAAAAAAATAACTAATTTCAAGTCCAAAAATTTCCACATTTTGCAACAAATTATCTAAACAGTCTCTTTCCAAGATCTTCAAATATTTATAGTTCTGTCCAATCTCCAATGTTTTTGGAATTTAAGATTCCATAATTAATATTAAACATGAATCTTCAAGCTATCATAAGTTTTACAGCACCCAAAATACAATTTTGGTATTTGCTAAAGTTTAGAGATGACTTGCTTGTATAGTACAAACTACCAAGTGGACATGTATAAACCTCACCCAATTTTTTTTTTTTCTCAAATAACTCTGTTGTTGCGGGTCGCTTGTGACAGAGACCTTCAAATACTGTATGGTCCCTGGCTGTTGAATTGTCGCCATGAAAGTGTTTTTGGCGAATGTGGGAGAAAAGAGAGAAAGAGACGGGCATATTGTGGCCACAAAAGTGAATGGGCACATTGGGCATCACCTTTTCTTGGGTAGGGTCAAGGGGCGTTCCAACTTGGACCTTTAATGTGGGTGTTGTCAAATACAACTAAAAAAAAAAAAAAAAGTTTGGTAGTGTCGGGCGATTTTAAAAGGGGTGCGGTTTCTACAAGGTTGTATCTGTAAACAATAATTGGTGGACTTCCAAATTTTATCATGTAATTTTGTTGTAGTTTTTTTTTTTAGGATTATCTTACAAACTATCTTCATGTCTAATTAGAAAATTTTAAACTCCAAAAATAGTTAAAATCAAGTAGATCCATAAACAAATGAAAATCTTGAAAATGAACGGTCTAGATAATGTGTTGCAAGATGCACTATTTTTTGGACTCAAAAACAATTTTTTTTTTTTATATTCATACATCTCAATGTCGAGATGATCAATTAGACTGTTTTTCAACATTAAAACAGCCTTTTTGATAGATTTTTGAGGTGCATATGTGATTCTACATTTTAAAGTTGCAACCTTACATAAACTTTTCCGTGGGAAAAGGTTTCTATACTTACCCTGCAGTATAGAAGATCTATGCTTCCCCTACCATCCAACCGTCCAATTTTGATCAAGAGAGCCGCCTACCGTTTGATCTTAGATCCAACATCTCAAAGTATTTTAATTTTAGTTTTTTTTTTATACAAATTATATGAATATGAAATTTGGTACGTGACATCTTCTCATTGGGGTACACCTATAAAAAGTATTAAAAATAATTTTTTGATAAAATATAATGACTAGAATACCCCTTAAAACTTTTAGGGATATTTTGGTCATTTTATTTATTAGAAAATTTTTTTTTTTTTTCGCTAGTGCGAGTTTAATATAGAATTGGACGTCCAAAATTTGGTGTCAAAATAATTATATAAAAAAAATTAAAATTAAATTGTGTAAAGACATGACATTGTGATTGGGGCAGTTTTAGCCCTCCATTCAGAATGGACGGTTGGATAAGGGGACATATATAAGTTTTATGCTGGAGAGGAAACATAGAAAGCTTGCCTTTTAAGTGAGGTTCCAATTTCCGTATGGGATCATTTTACCGTTTGTCCTGTTTTTATAACAACTTCGAATAAGGTGAGAATGGAACTTTAGCCATCATGTTACCAATCATCCTTGCCTAGATTCTATTTGCTAGCGGTGGAAATACTCGGACCCAACCTGGAATCTGACGACAGAATTCGACCCAGTTTTTGGGTATGGGTTCGAAAATTGGACCTGACGGGTTCGGGTCCAAGTCCAAATCTTGGATCCGAATACTATTTAGATTTGGGTCCACGTGCATCCGACCAACCAAATAGTGTTAATATTTAAATAATATTTAGTATATGATAATTAAACAGTATTTAAATAAAAAAATTTATACAAGGTTGCTTTGCAATCATACATAATTTTATTTTTCTTGCAAGACAATTAATTGAACAAAATTAATATAATATATTGAACCATGTCATGTGCTTTCCTTACAATTTGACAGTGATTGTGCACACATTCGGGAGATGATTTTAAGAATATGCATGAATCAGCGGCCACGTCAGTTGGACTTCAACCACATGGCAATTTCTTAATTATTACATTCAACCAAGTGACAAAGCCCATTACGGAAAGAAAGTGCGATAGTTGGAAAATCAAAACAAAAGGCCAAATCTTTATTATCCTTTCTGCGGACGAAACTAGGTCATTTTCCTTTTGGACAGATTTAGGGGGGAAAGGACTTGCAATAAAAATTTATTGTCACCTTTAATTATTAAATTTAAAGTTAAAAAAATAGTGAAGGTCAAACGAATTTATAAATAATTAAATATTTTAGAAATAGATTGTCCATATTATACGTAATAAGATGCCCTATTTTCATAAATTGAAATCATTTTTTTTAGATATACACATATATATTGAGGTCAAGATGATCGCTTTGAGGGTTTTCTAGCATTATTTTCATGAATTTTTTGAGGTGCTGCCTACTTCAACAATATAATCTTAACACTTTATTTAAACCTTTTTCGGGTTCCCGAATTTTGATAAACTCTTTTGGGTTCCCGAATTTTGATAAACTTTTTTGGGTTGCCGAATATTAATAAAGTGGAATCCTCCCAACCCTACAGGCAGCATCCTATGCAGTCAATTTTATTTAGGACACTATTTTTGAGTTCTACAACTCAAATGTAGAATTGAGTCCCTTCTTAAAAATCTATTTTTAAGATGGATTTTGGACTTAATTTTTAAGAAATATACAATCTCTAACGCATGGATCACGAATAAGTGAATAAATTTGGAAAAGTTGTTCATGAGTCAGCGGGTGCAAGAACCTGCTCCTCACCAACGTCCATGTTCAAAAATTCATTGGGCTAATATAAATATGGACAATGTAGAAAAATCCCTAAAGAATCACATTTAAAATGTTGATTGTTTTTTGTCGTATTTATTTTGATCTTAAACTAGATCACTGGGCTAACATAAATATACACGGTGTAGAAAAATCCCTAAAGAATCATATTTAAAATGTTGATTTTTTTTGGTTGTATTAATGATGATAGTAGCCTAGATCATATATATCTAAAATTTTAGATTAAAAATCCATCTTTAAGATAAATTTGAGACCGCATATGTCCAATATGAGTCGGCTGACTCAGAAAAACCCTATCCAGTAATATTAAAATAACTAAATTTAGAGTAGTAATTTTTGACTTTTTTAAAGGGACCACCCATTTGCACAAGGGATGTTTCATACTTTCGAACGATTTCCCTTTTATTTAAAGTCTCCATTTTTTTAGATCAGGACTCCAGGGCCTTGTATATTTAAAATTTTTATATTTCGGGGTGTGCATTATAACGGCTATACAGGCTCTCCTGGACTCGATTAATTGAAGTTATTACAGCAGGGCACAAAGAAAACCAGTTGTTAGGTTAATGGCGGATTCAACAACGACCCCCATCCCATCATTCCTCTCTTTCTCTCTTTGACTTATTGGGCTCATATGCATAAATTGAACGTTGGTTTAATGGCAGATTCAGCCATCATCAATCCTTCTTCTCTCTCTCCTTGTTCATCAGCCGATCCTGTGAATCAATCAGAGGAGTTAGAGCGAGAAGGTGAGATGGTTTTGGCGGCTGCTTCGATGCGCAGGTCGGGTTCTCGCCCGCAATTGGATTTGAGTGGGGCAGCAATTCAGGGGAATTTTGAGGAGAGAAGCCCGACTATTTTGCTTCCCAATCAGTTTGATGACATATCGCGAATGGCCCTTGATATTGGAGGTTTGTTCTCTTGTTGAAAAGATTATGTTTTGTTTAGTATTTGGTTTTGCTTGTTTGGGGGGTTGGGTATCTTTTGATGAATAATTGTTGGAATTGAAATGGGCTGTTTATGATATTTCTTTTTGTATTTGGATTGTCACTGGTGTTTTTATATCTTTGGAGCATTTGTTAGTCAATTTTTTTAATGGAATTTGGGTGTGTCTCTCTTAACTGCATTGGCTTAGTTTCCTTTTTGTATCCGAATTTTCTAATGAATGATTGGGCACTAGAAAATGCGGTTTGGTTTTGGTTCTTCCATTAATTCGATTGGCACGGATTTTATAAGGTGGGTTTTTTTCAGTGTTGTTCTTTTTATTTATAACTATTAAGTTTTATTTATTATGTTCTGCAGTAACTTTTTCTCTCTGGTTTTTATTTTTACTTTTTTTTAGTTAAGGTTTCACTCAACAGTAGCTGAAATGTGTCTATTAATAATGAAAGGATGAATTTTGATTTATTTTGTGCTTCTTCCTTGGCCTATTTCTTTTTCCTTTCAAGATGAATACACACACACACACGCACTGTAATTCAATGATGCAGGTTTTGGTAAAGTGAAATTGGTTCTGTGCATAGAATCACTTGGTTTGGCAGTGATTTCGTTTGTAAACCAAGTGGTTTCGTATGTTTGGGCTACTATTTTTTAAAAGTAAGTATGATATTCAGTATAAGATTTCTTGATTTGCTGTTGGTCTGCTCCTATTTTTTAGCACTCTTCTCCGTTCTCTCGTTTATATTTGTGATGATTTTTCAGGTTTATGCTTTCTATTTCTTTGCTTTAGTGTTATTCCATTTTCTTATTTCTGTTGCATCATTTTGGCACTTGCATGGAATTTCGCCTGGAAAATGTCTTATTTTGCCCTTCATTTCTTTTGTGTCCTAGCCATCCCCATCTCTCCTTTGATTTGGTTTGGGTATTTTTTTGTGGGTTTTATTTATTTATTTATTTTAAATATAATTTTTTATAATAATAATAATAATAATAATATTTTTTTTTTTTTGTAATTGCATATTTCCTTTTGCATGGTTGGGCTTCTATTTTTTCCATTGAACCATTTACTGCCTCGAGTTTGTCATATTAGGAGGATTGGACACTAATCTAGCTTTACTCCTTTATTGAGCTTACTTTATTTTAGCTACAAAATTGCTTTTGTATTTCATGCTAGTACTAGTTTTATGATACTGGCAAATTGGGTTATACCTTGATTGGCACATAGATTTTAAGAGTCGTTTCTCATTTATTAGCCTGCATTTTTCCATTTCCATTTTAGTAACTATTTTCTCAATTGCCTTTAATAACATGTCATAAGTTTGTGTTGTTTTGTGCCATTACAGTATATGCATGGAAGGATTCAGTTATAAGATAATTTGATGGATTTTCAGCTCATAAACCTTATGATTTGAAATATCTATAAAAGGAGTTTCATGATTCAAGGATGTTGGACAAGGGATTAATCTGTCTTGATTATCTATTGTTTTATTTTTTAGATATATGTTATTTGTTTTTAGCTGTGTCATGTGAGATGATATTGAGATGTTCTTCCAGGATCTCTTATTAAGTTAGTCTACTTCTCAAGGCACGAGGAGAGCTCGACTAAAGACAAGAAGAATGGTCATTTGAAGAAGAAGCAGGAGGCTCCTAATGGCAGTGCATGGAGCTATCCCACTCGTGGTGGTCAACTCCATTTTGTGAAGTTTGAGACTAGAAAGCTTAATGAGTGCTTGGAATTTATCAGATGCAAACAACTTCATAGCAGTGGTATGCTGAGTTATATATGTATATATATAT